AAACAAAAGAATACCTTTGAATTGGCTAAGCATTACTATCAAAGTCTAGAGTTTGGATTTCTAGATCTTTTAAAAGATTTTGGAGCATTTGGATTTTCAGATTAGGGATGCTCACCTTGTATACACACTTTATAGAAATAGCACAGTAATGGCGATCCAGGGAAAGCATGACTAAGAAGTTGATATTTGAACAGGACCAAGTGATAGGAAGAGAGGAAGGGTATTTTAGGTAAAGAGAAGAGCACATACAGAATCATGTGAGGAAGATAAATGTAATAACATTTTAAATAAAATATTATTAGAAGCAAATAGTTTTTCTGGGAACATTGAAATATATTTTATTGGGACTATACATTTTTATCTGAGATGAGCCTCTACTAAAAAATTAAAATTCCTCAAATACTCCGCATTATTACAGGAGAGGGTTAAATATATCCTTGATTTCTCATAGTCTTGTGATAAATTCTCACAAATTGAATTTTAGCAAATTACTTAACAGACAACTCAGATGTTGAATGCTATTTTTAAAAGAGATAGTAAATAACAGTGTATTTTTGCTAAATATGTTTTTCCTTAAAAACAATGAGAAATTAACTTCCTTCTAAAAATATATAAAGGGTTCATGCTGAAAAGTCTTTTGTGTTTATAATCGATCCAGAGTTGTCTTATTGTATTGTATTGCATTGTATTGTACTGTACTTGGTCAAGATAATCTAATAATCATAAGAAAAATTATAAACCTAGGTAAAATAGAGTATTGGTGGCAAATTATATATTTATATATGGTTGCAAATTATATATTTAGAAGGTATAGGATCTTTTCAGGGGTTAGCTAGGTTCCACAGAATAAATTGTATTCATTGACTATTTCTGTCATGCCAAGAATGACTTGCATAAGATACTGAGCTATTTTTCCTTTGAAAAATAAAATAGCTCTTTGAACTTTAACTGAAAGCTATACAGTTTTGTTTCAAACTGTTTTGTGGGAGAGCTGGACTCCATCTTTCATTCGAGAAGTTTGTGTTTATAAATCCATAGAATTTTGAATTTATCTATATTCATCAAATACATATTCAGGTCAAGCAATTGAGGTTATATTTAAAGAACTCAATTGACAAATTAATACTGACACACATTTTAACATACTTACATATGAAAAGTCACATTTTACTTTCAAATGATATATTTTTACCTGCTGTGTAAAAGAACTTTATGCAAGAGCAAAACAAGGATCTATTAAGAGAATTCTGCCACAGCCAATTACTGGGAGTGGCAGAATATAATAAGAGGAGAAATTAAACTGTACTTCCTGTACTCCCTGTTCTATGAGGATGTTTATCAATAAAAAATATGACAATCACAGATACTTTTAGATGATTGTTTCTCCACATATTTTAAGTGTATCTGTCACTGCCCACCGGATACATTTTCTTGATATTAGTTGTGAATATATAGCTGTCACTAATCCGTACAGTCTGACTCCATAGCTATTGATCTTAACCTTTATGAGGTGATGTGTGGGAAGTCATCCAGAATCCATATGAAGCATCAAGCTGGTCTACTTTTCATTTAGGGGTCATGTGAATTGTATATTGAGGAGATGCAGCAATATGTTTGCCCAGTTTTGTGGTTTTCTTTGAAGGATCAGCAAAGTTATAAATATTTTAAAGGGCTCCTAATGTTACATTAATCATCTTGCAGTGAATAAATGTAAAACAAGGTGCTGGTCCCAAGTAGCTTATTTGCAAATTAGAAGAACCAGAAAAAAGATTAAATTATTAGAATAATTGATTATTAAATTGCATGAAACTTACTACAAAGCAATACAAGTCGTATCATTGTGGACAGAAGTAGTCTGAAGATCTTCATGAAGGAGGTAGAAAATGAAATGGACCTTTGAAGATGAATAGAATTTGAATTTTTTGAATAATAGTAGGGATATAGTTAATGTTGGGGGAGCAAAGGCAAGGAGATGATAATATTTGCATTATATAAGTAACTTTGAGTTTTTGATATTTTTTCCTAATAGGGTAGCCTTGCAACTCGCCATCTCAGTAGCTCTATTTTAGCATTAGAAGTGTCAGAACCCACCTGATAGTTAGACTTGATAAGGTTATGTCTAGCTTAAAATATGTATAGAGAGGTTCTTTCTGTAATGACTTTTGAGTCACTACATTCATCAAAGTTGAATTATGTTATTTTGAGGGGCCAAATTCCTGAGTAATTCCTATTGAGAATCTGAAGAAAAATTAGCTATCTAGTAATTTAGAGGTAGATACAGGAAAGTTATTAAAATTAGCTGTGATAAATAAATTATTGCTACTTTCTTAGTAAATTAAACAGTTTCCCCCTAGTGTACCTTTCTGTGGAATCATTACCTTAATGAGAGAATGCTAAATTGACTTGCAGATAAGCGACAAGTAGAATCTATCACATATAGAATGATTCAGTTTTTAGATTAGTTAACTGCAGCATTGGTTAGAGTTTTAACTAAAATTAGATGCTAAATATTTTAACTTTTAATTACTACTGATTTAATACCATTAAATAATAGCAATTATTGAGTAATTTAAGGTGAACCCATTTTTAAGCTTGGCCAAATAAGATACAATCATTTTCCACATTAACATCAATTGGGTCACTTTTGAATAAGTTTTCATATTAACGTGTGTATATTTTGCTTGTTTCAAGGTAAGTTCTTTGGTTGCAGGCAACCAAAACCAACTCTTGAGCACAAATAGAATTCATTAGCAAGATATCAGTAACTCACAGAATGAATAGAAAGACTGGAGAAATAGGCCTAGAAAGAGGTAGGCTGAGCTGCTGCAGAGAGGCTGGAAGCAGAAATGGCAGGAGTGTCTCTTTGCTGATAGACTCTGGTCATGGCCCCACTGCTAGAGTGAATAAACTGCTTTGCCTATTTATTATTCTAAATAGTCTCTAATCAAGATTCAAAATACAAGGATGGGGTTTTCAACCAAACTTAATTCACTCGCCTGTCCCATAGTGTACTGGAGGGGCAAAGGAGCCTTACACAAGGATTCTCCAGGAATCTTTCCTCTTCAAGTGCCACAATTTACTGGTTTCACATGCCTCACAAAAGATGGGAAATAAATGCTGTGTGGATGAAAACTACGTCTATTCCATACACTGAAATCTCTTATCTCCTGTTTCAGAGCACCAGGCAGCTGCCCATAGAAAACAATATCATTAGGATTTCTAAAAACAAAAGTCTAAAGATAATACCTTAATTTGTCCTTAGGCAAAAATTCTCCGTGGACAAATGTGTAAAAACTTTTGTGGAATTTCAGTTCTTTCTTCCATTTAAGAAGTGTAGAACTTTATGCTTTCCAGAATATATTTTAACCTGGAGATTGTTCAATTACTTATCATAAACTGAATTCTACCAGTGTCATTTCCTCATAGATGAACATTTGCTTTTCTCACATTCTGCTCTGAATATTTCCTGTGAGCCAGTTATGACATTGGAATTATTTTCCAGTGACCTTCACAATCTAGTGAGTCTACCCCTCAAGAAAGGGAATATGTGACAGAGAAAAATAAACTAAGAGAACACAGATAATGGTAGTTTATTATAGTAGATTCTTAGGCCAATAATTCCTATTTATGCTTTGCACAATTTTTCTGTCAATCTTAAAAAATTTCCATTTACTCTCTTTGTGAAGCTTTACTGTTTCTATTTTTAAAAACGTTAAAGAACCTTAAAAGTCCTTTTAAAAAATTTCATTTCCTTTCCAGTGAAATGAAATTGTGGCAACTAGCCTTAAAGAATATCGTCATGGGATACATTCTCATGACTTTTGCCTATTTTACTTTAGTATTGTGAGATAGAATCTAGTATTTACATCACGTTTCTTTGTGGAAATAGTGGAACAAATATTTTTAAATGTACACAGATACCCTGTAAAATCAGAAATATTCATCTGTAGCCTGTTAGAGACATATAAAATGTGGTTATTCCATCAGTATCATGGTGAACAGCCAGAGGTGGTGTACAGGCTGATTTTCTTTAGTGTGCAGTATTGTGTTGCTGGCACTTCACTGACTCACCTCTCTGTTACCAACAACAGGACTATTGTCTGTGGAAGTTAGTGGCAGGCACATAGTATTACATCCCTGCTGTTTCTGAGTTGATGCCTCAGAGCATTGGTGCACTTAAAGCCATGGATACAGGTTGTTTGAGAATATTTGAGGATGCATGTTGCCGAGATGGCATTTTAAAGCCTTTTAGAGGGAGAATAAGACCTTTAATTTTAAATTATTTTAACCATCAATTCAAATGTTGAATTAGTCTTAATGGCAATGAGGTATTTTTGGTTTGTGAAGTTGAAATTTTGGCAAAAAGCTCATTCTTTTGCAAGTTGTTATTAACAAGTAACAGTTTTATAAACATTGAAGAAAACATGAATTGTTATAATTGCTTCATCCTGTCAAATCATTTCCAGTGGATTATATTGTTCAGTGTACTTGTTCTTGATTTAATTACTTTCATGAAGATTTATTAGTAGTCGCTTCTATCAAAAACAGTTATGGGAATCTCATAGATATTTTATGTTTTTCTACGCTCATTTTTTTATTCACTTTAATTGCTTTTTCTTTACTTGAGTCAAATAACTTTTATAGGTTGTTTCTGAGTTTTGAAACTAGGAAATCATACACATGGAATCTTTATTTTATATTTTAATTGGCCTGATAACCTGTATATTTAAGATGTCACCACTTTTTAGTTAAGATGTAAAATGCCTCTTGGGTCCTTTAGTAATAATCTCTGTGGAAAGATAGGAAGTCCGAATTTCACAAGTAGGGATTTGTTGTAGCCAGCAGAGAAAAAAATGAAAAGTACATATTATAGGAGAAAAAACAGTCATAGGCTCAACCAGCCTTGCTATAGTTCTGTTCACAGTCTATTAACATAACATTTCAAAAAGATGAATTTTGGGGGCCTAAATTGATACCATTGGGTTCCTCTGCCATTGTAGAACATTGAAGACAAAAGCACTCACCATCTTAATATTCACAGGACTGTGCTAAAGAATAATGATTTAAGATCAAGACAAGAGTTAACTGCCCATCTCACCAACCAGTGGCCTTCCCCAGGAGCTCTGGATGTCAATGCCGTTGCCTTGGATACGTTGCTTTACCGAAAACACAATAAACAGTGGTATGAGTAAGTGTAATACTTTTTTTTCCAACTAATTACAAAGTTAGCTGTACCAAAACGTATGGCTGTCCACTTTGGTTTCTCAGTTATTCTTTCTGAATTTATTATTAGCTTAAGCAAAGGTAGGATTTAGGACTACCTGGTCAGGTTAGATTAAGGCAGTAAATCTGTTAAGTTTTGGAGCAGAGGCACTCTAGGGAAGTAAAATATCTGAGAAATTCTTATGCAACATTGTACCAGCTATTTACTTCTTCAGTTAAATCTTCACCCAGTCCTTCAGGTAAATCCATGAGCTTGTGTTTAATGAGCCATCTAGTTTTGAATTCTAGCTTTGGTGTTGTATTTGCCTTAGGACTAATTTTCCTGCTTGTCAGAAAACAAAATTCTGTCTCATGAAAGAATAGAAAGATATTTACTTGTTCTTGGTGAGTCTAAGTTGTGTTCATTTTCAATAAATCGTATTCTTAGAGACTGTAGAAGATATAATCACTCCACCTATGGGAAAAGATCCTTTTCCTATTTCTTTGTCCTAATGTTCAGGATGATTTCATTTAATCATAGTGCTCTAATGTTGAGAGAGCTGCAAAATCTTAGACTATCTTCCTTTAGGTAATCTTCATATTGAAACTTGTAAACTGTATTTCCTTCTTTGGCTTTCAGCCACTTTTTCATCTTAATCATTTTTTCACTCTTTATTTTTATGTCTTTAGCTAATTTTCTAACTATTTTTCCTGATGTCCCTCCCTCCTATCCCCTTTTGTACGCTTTTTCCCTTTCTCTCTCTCCCTTTTCTCTTTTCTTTTTTTTTTTGAGACAGAGTCTCACTGTGTTGCCCGGGCTAGAGTGCCGTGGCGTCAGCCTAGCTCACAGCAACCTCAAACTCCTGGGCTCAAGCGATCCTTCTGCTTAGCCTCCCGAGTAGCTGGCACTACAGGCATGCACCACCATGCCCGGCTAATTTTTTCTATATATTTTTAGTTGTCCGATTAATTTCTTTGTATTTTTAGTAGAGATGGGGTCTCGCTCTTGCTCAGGCTTGTCTCGAACTCCTGAGCTCAAACAATCCGCCTGCCTCAGCCTCCCAGAGTGCTAGGATTATAGGCGTGAGCCACTGCGCCTGGCCTCTTTTCTCTTTTCTTTCTTCTGTCTTTTCCTTCTCTCCTCCTTTTCCCCTTCCCTCTTTTTGTTTCTTTCTCTGTTCTTCTTTTAGAGTCTCTGTTCTTGTTTTTAAATTTCACTAGTAGAATCATGTATTTCTATCTTCGCTTCTTAGGGTATCTTTCACTAGGCAATTAGTAGCCAGACATTTCTACAAGGAGTGTTTTAGCACAGATATACCTTCCACCTGCTTTACTCTGTGGTGTTTTTTGTTTATCAAAGACAGAATTCAAAATAAATTTGACCACTTGTTAAAAGAATTGCTAGGAACTTTAAAGATTTTTTCTTTTTTCATTAATTGTTAGAGATAATTAGTAAAAAGTGAACAGATTACTTACAGAATAAATAAGTACAACTCTCTTCAACATCTACTAAATTCATGCTTCTTAGTATGACTTAAGGTGTTGACTTTGAATATTTCATAGATTGGTATCTAGTTCCCTTATATACCGTTATGAAAGTTGTGAATAAGTAGAGTTTATTTTTTTTTATTCTGGTGTATAATTTTACCTTCCTGTGGCATATTTAACTAATAGAAGAATATTATTTTTGTATTTTTAATTTATGATTGAAAAATTGAATTTATAGCAATACATGGTACACTTACCTTGTCGATATTATAACATATGAGATGCTTCTTCTTTTTTAACTGCAAAAATATTATGAAAATTTTAAATCTTGATAAGTTAAAAGACTGTGCCTTTTTATTTCGATATCCACATTGTCACATTAGATAGTGGGAGGTAAAATATTTTTGCCAGAAGATGTGTACCCTTGCCTTCTACAGAGTTACCTGTTGAGGAGCCAATAAGAAGTCTAAAGTAGAAGATTTATTTCTGGTTTACCTCTGCTTGTGTAATAGTGGCTGGTTTTTACAAAATATGATAGCAGCAACGAAAGTAATTGCAGTCTCAAAAAAGAAGGCAGGGAAGCCATATTTATCTGTTTAGCAGAGATCTAGATACTGTACTTCTTGACTCAGTTATTCCATTAGCTTAAGAAGGGACATCCCTTCCTCCCTAGTATCATCTGTTAATCTGGTCTGTCCTCAGATGCTGGTATTGCTTTTAGATGGCCCTATTTCTAACCGATATACCTGAACAAAAAAGTATGTAGCTGGGGTGTAGTACAGAGACACTGGACCTAGAGTTTAAAGTCAGGACTCATAAATAATCTCTGCTACTTACTTGCTATGTAACTCTGAGAAACACTTCCTCTCCTTACCTTTTTCTTTCTGCACACGTTATCTTGGGCATAGTGCCTAACAGAACTATAAGGATCAAATGAGGTAATAAATATCTGGCACTTAATAGCTTCTTAGTAAATCTTTATTTGTATTCTATATCATCTTTTTTGTTTCTACTCTAATGTATCTTCCATGTTTAGAGAGTGTACACCCACCTAACTTCCCAAGATCTACTTTCTGAACATTATGTAAAATTAAAAAGACCAACTAATCCGCAAAATAAGTAATCCCAGCTGTCTCATGTAAAAACGGAGGCTTTGGATTTTCAGAACAGAGGAGCTTTCTATAAATCATGCTTTCTATAATCATAGCTTTTCATCAGGATCCAATTTTTGCTGCTCTCAAATAAGTTCAACAGATGTTTATTGAGAACCTACAAATTATGAAGGAAGTGGCCAAAGCCTTTTTAATAAGAAACATTACCTCTCCTGATAATTTGGATAAAGGAGCTAAACCTATAAAAAATTACAGTTTTAATGCCAGTAGATGATTTTTCCTGCTAAGGATACGGGATGTCTATAGCTATTTCTAAAAACTGTGTAACTTCATTCTACCAGCTTGCCAAAGACAACTCTAAGAAGAAAGAGTGTTAAAAGAAAAACTGTAGACAAAATAAAATTTATCAGAGATTATTTAATTTAAGCAAAGGATTCATTAATCAGGCTGCACTCAGACCCAGAAGAGGTTCAGAGAGCTCTACCTACCAGTGGAAACAGAAAGCTTTTATAGGCTGAACAGGAATCAAAGTACAGAAATCACCTGATTGGCTACAGCTAATCTACCGTATTTAGGCAAGGTGTAATGAAACATTTACCTTATTTGAGCATGGTATGATGAGTTGGTTGCCTGTGATTGGCTAAATCTTGGCTGTTTGTGACTAGCTAAAACCTGGCTATTTGTTAGAAAAAATACACTCCTGAATTAGGTTTTGGTTTATTTACTTAGTAAGTTATGTTGCAGTTTGTTACTAGAACTCAAAGTAAGGGGGCAGCCTTAGACTAATAGCCTTCTGCTTATTGAATTTAATAAGAGTGCGCTGTTTGATTTAATGAATTTGTTGGTCTTGTTTATATTTCTTACACTGAGCCATTGGATAACTTCTTATGTTGTCGCCTACTCGTGGAAGGATTCCTCTCACGATAGAAGATATTAAATTTATTTCCATTTACTCTATGTTGTTTATAAAACTTTAAAAATATGATTTCTGGGTTATTTTGTGATTTCTTAGACCTGGCACAATTAGCTATGCTGGATTTTAGATCTTTTCCTATATTTCAAATGTGGGAATATCATTTAAAAAAGTTGTTAAAGCATAACAGGTTTACTGTAAAAACTCAACAATAAATAAGCATATAAAACATGTATCCTTAATACACACATAGAATTATTATTTACTTTTCTGTTTCCAATAAGTTCTGTTTTAATATCATTTTTTTTATATATAGTCTAGGTTACCTGAGCTTGTTAGAGAATCCTGATCTGTTATATAATCTTGCTAGATTATTGCCTTCCCCACCCATTCCCATCCCAAAATATTAGATTTGTTGTCACCATATTTATATTTTCTATTTAAGCTTTTTTAGTCTTTTAAATTTATCATTGTCAGCCAGGCACGGTGGCTCATGCCTGTAATCCTAGCACTCTGGGAGGCCGAGGCGGGCGGATTGTTTGAGCTCAGGAGTTCGAAACCAGCCTGAGCAAGAGCGAGACCCCGTCTCTACTAAAAATAGAAAATAAATTAATCAGCCAACTAAAAATATATAGAAAAAATTAGCCGGGCATGGTGGCGCATGCCTGTTGTGCCAGCTACTTGGGAGGCTGAGGCAGAAGGATTGCTTGAGCCCAGGAGTGTGAAGTTGCTGTGAGCTAGGCTAATGCCACAGCACTCACTCTCGGGCAACAGAGTGAGACTTTTCCACAAAAAAAAAAAAAAAAAAAAAATTCATCATTGTCTCCCATTTTGGTTATCATTCAGCTTGCAAAATTATAGAGAATCATGAGCTCATATATGCTTATGATCTAATTTTTTTTATTTCAAAATATTACAGGAGTATAAATGTTTTTGGTTACATGGATAGCTTTTGTTATGCTTGAGTCACGGTTATAAGTGTTCCCATCACCCAGGTAGTGTTCATTGTACCGTTAGGTTGATTATTGCTCTTCCCCCTCCCCTGCTTGATTTCCACTGAGTTTTACTTCCCTCTGTGCACATGTATGCTCACCGGTTAGTTCCAATTTAATAGCGAGTACATGTGGTATTTGTTTTTCCATTCTTTAGATACGTCACTTAGGATAATGGTGTCCAGTTCCATCCAAATTGTTGCAAAGGCCTTAATTCATCCTTATTTATGGCTGAGTAGTATTCCATAATATACATATACCACATTTTGTTAATGTACTCATTAATTGACAGCTAGTTAGGTTGATTCCACATCTTTGCAGTTGTGAATTGTTCTGTAATAAACATTCAAGTGCATGTATCTTTTTGATAAAATGGCTTATTTTTCTTTGGGTAAATACCCAGTAGTGGGATTGCTGGATTGAATTGTAGGTCTACTTTTATATCTTTGAGGAATCTCCATACTGTTTTCCATAGAGGTTGTACTAATTTGCAGTCCCACCAACCAGCAGTCTCCAACTGTTTTGGCACCAGGGACTGGTTTCGTGGAAGACAATTTTTCCATGCACTGGAGCAGGGGGGATGGTTTTGGGATGATTCAAGCACATTACGTTTCTTGTGCACTTTATTTCTATTATTATTAGTCACTTGCCACTCACAGATAGGGCTTTGATATGAGTCTGCAAACAACTGATTTATTATGGTCTCTGTGCAGTCAAACCTCTCTGCTAATGAATCTGTTTGCAGCTGCTCCCCAGCACTAGCATCACCACCTCAGCTCCACCTCAGATCATCAGGCATTAGATTCTCATAAGGAGTACGTAACCTAGATCCCTCACATACAGTTGATAGTAGAGTTCACACTTCTATAAATCTAATGCCACTGCTGATCTGACAGGAGGCAGAGTTCAGGTGGTGATGCAAGTGATGGGGAGTGGCTGTAAATACAGAGGAAGCTTCGCTCACTCTCCTGCTACTCACTTCCTGCTGTGTGGCCTGGTTCCTAAAAGGCCATGGACTAGTACCAGTCCACAGTCCAGGGGTTGGGGACCACAGCCACCAACACAGTGTATAAGGTTCCTTTCTCTCTGCATCCACGCCAGCATTTGTTGTTTTTGGACTTTTTAATAAAAGCCATTATAACTGGGGTAAGGTGATATCTCATTGTGATTTTAATTTGCATTTCCCTGATGATTAGAGATGTTGAGTATTTTTTCATATGTCTAACTCTAATATTTTGGCTTTTAATTTTTCTTAATGACTTTCACTTCAGATGTATTCAGAGTTCTCCTTTCTATGTGTGTGTTTCAAACATTTTTCGAGTAGGAGTCCCTAAAGCACTGAGGCTGCAAAAGTCTTTTACAGCTTGTAAATTGGACATTGACCTGACTCACATATATCCTTCCCTATCAGGCTTTCCTTGCATCCTTCTGTTAATTTTAGTAGATTAAGAAACTATAGATATTCAGCTATTGCAAATGATTATTTTGTTCCTTAGACATATTTCTATGAATATAAACCAAGAATAAAAAGTATATCTCAATCTCCATGTAAATTCATGTATGCATTGTATATATATTTGTTTTTATTTTCTACATGTGGATAATGCTTGCCTCTTTCTACGCATCACACTCTTTGTTGCCAAGTGACTACCAAATAATGTTAATTATTATTGACCTCAACACATCTATTGGGCAAATAAATGATATAGACTACACATATAATTACTTCTAATCATTGATGTACAATGTAAGATTTTAGAAAAATTGATTAATAAGTGAATTCAGGCCTGTTGCTCAGTTTTCTTGTAATTTGCCTTTGTTTGGTACCCTATCTCATGTATAGGAGTTTGTATTTGAGTGGTTTAAAAATGTTTAAGTAGGCCAAGCATGGTGGCTCATGCCTGTAATCCTAGAACTCTGGGAAGCCAAGGTGGGAGGATTGCTTGAGGTGAGGAGTTTGAGACCAGACTGAGTAAGCGAGACCCCGTCTCTACCAAAAATAGAAGAACCCAGACAGGTGTGGTGGCATGTCCCTGTAGTCCCAGTTACTCGAGATGCTGAGGCAGGAGGATCCCTTGAGCTCAGGAGTTTGAGGTTGCAGTGAGCTATGATGATGCCCCTGCACTCTACTGAGGGTGACAGAGAGAGACACTCTCTCTCAAAAAAAGAAAGTTTAAATAGTTAGATATTGAATGTAGTAGATTTTATTATATGCCAAATGCCCATGACATATGTCATAATTCCTACAAGTTTAATTTAAATTATATGTAACAATGGAATGACATAAACTATAGATATTTTTCAGAATGCATGATTCTATCTTGGGTTTTTATTTTGATTAAGCTAGTGGGGTATTTTCAAAATTCTATTCTGAGAAATAGTAATAGCTGTTAATCAGATTGATTTGTCTGGTGGGTTCCATTTAAGTCTTATAGTGTGATGTTACTGAGGCTAGAATTCTAAAATAGGACTTAGTCTTGACCTTTTCAAGACAGAACTCCCATAGATAGTTTACTTCATGACAAAAACAGGATGTTTGTCAGATGGAGCTACCAGTCACATCGGAAATCAGGTAAGAACATGGAAGCCAAACCCATTCTTTGCCATTACTGAAAGTAACTGAAGTAGTTCTCTTTTGGATGGTAGGTTTGTAGTCATTTTTATGTAAAGATGATGTTATTCTTAATATCTTACAAATAAGGTACTGATTTTGGGGTTGGAATTTTCATTATGGCTTCACAATATCATTGTCTAGCAAATTCTATTTATTTCTACATTTGTTAGCTTTTGGTTGTCTATATACTCAGGAATTGTCCACTAACTGTGACAAATTAAAGGGTAGAAAGGTTCCAATATCTCTTTGTATTTGGAAGTGTGATATTCTAAAAAGAGCTTCAGTAGGTCATGCAGAAAGCTCATTTCGTGTTGCCATATCAGGGGCTACTTTTACAGAATTTCTTCCCTCTAGTGAGTGGCAGTCCTTGAGATTATTGGAAATGTGTGTTGTCAAACTCTCAGTGCTCACTTAACACTACTCAAATGAATTTTATGTCTTTTTGCATCTGGGTATTTTGTTTGAAATATTTCTATATATAAATTTTTAAATCTAAAAATATTAAATTTTTTATAATGAAAAATTAGTGTCAGAAACTCATCTTAAGCCATCATGCAACTTAAAAAGTAAGCCTTATACCTACTGGGCACAGAAAAATACCTTGGAAAAGAAATTTATTTATAGGTTTGGAATGTATTACTAAAAAAAAGAAAGAAATTTATCTATAACTGCTATTTAAATTCCAATGTCCTTGCTTTCCTCTGCAGCTAAAGAAATAAGATTTTAATGAAAATCAAGTGAAATCTTCAGTGATATGATTAAATATAGTATAGTTTATGTGGTCCATCTTAACAAACAAGGCTGTTCTTGGAGAAATATTTCTAATAAAGTAGGAAGCCAAATCCTTACTTCCTATATTGGAGAGGAAATAGCATAGTCATTAAGGAGACAGAATTAGAGTCAGACTGCCAGGTTTAAATCTCATCTCTTTGTGCCCTAGTTTCCTCTGCTATAAAGTGGAGGTAGTAATAATTCCAACTTCTTAGGGTAGTTGTGAGGATTAAATAAGTTCATTATATATAAAATATATGGAACAGTACCTAGATGTAAGTGCTATATAAATTTAGGTATCATTTTTTATTACATATCACGTAGCTCATATAAGTGTTATCTGTTGTAATTATCAGAGTGTCCTTCAACAGTAGAATTTCCTGCTACTTAAAAATTATAATTAAGGACTTCTATACTCTCAACATTTGAAAAGTCATCACATTATAAAGTGAGAACACTGTTTGCATTGTAAGCTAGTGAAGTTATTTCATCACCTCATTCTTCATTTCTTAGAAAAACATTTTCCAGTTTTATATATCCTCTCACTATGAAATCCTATAAAATCATAATAAAATTGATGGAGAATAAGTACAAAAGCAATTAAAAATAACTACTGTTTTGGTAAACACTGGGCTCTGCCTTTTTTTTTTTTAATGGTCAATCTAATTTTAGTAAATGAATATTTCCACCCTACCTTTCTCCTCATTTTGGGTGGTATCCTGATAAACATAAAACAGAAACTGGACATAAGTATTCCAACCATATTTAACATAATGTGTTTTTGATAAGTCTGTTACTAAGTCTATCCTGTATGTATGAAGAGAGAGAACTATGAACTAGATCACTGAAAATATATGTGCTTTCCTATAAAACTTATCATAAAACATATTTCTAGGAAATATTTCTAGGAAATTAGATGGAGTTTGGCTACCTTGGGAAGTAGATGCTGAACTTGGAAAACACATTCCTTTTCCTAGGTCATTTATATTTGGAAATAATAATGAACTCTGTTCTCTTATGTGAAATGTGAATAACACCAAAGCTCCATATATCTTTTGAGTTGGTTTCATCTTGAAGAACCAAATATGAGGAAAGGTTAATAACAAGATTTCATTAACTTTCTGCTTATAACTGAATTTATTCCCTATTATATATCTCACTTTTTAATGAGCTTAATAGAAAATGGGCCTCAAAACAGCAAATAGATGAGGAAGGAAAGGTTAATAATCTTGATGGTATAATAATACAAACAGGTATTTTATTACCCAGTATTTTTTAAAATTCTGAATTAAAGGAATTTGTAATACATTTTTTGTTATATAATAATATCAAGGCATTGAAAAATTCCAAAATGCTTAAGCAACACTAGGTCATTATTCTTAATGTCAATTTTGTTTCTGTATTAAGAGTAACCTGCAGACTTTCTGTTCTTTGAAAATAGGTAGTAATGAGAGGTTCCCATTTCTTAAGAATATGGATAATCAAAAATCGGCATGAGGATTTTGTTTTGGCAAATTATTTCTCTTTTCTCCTTTTCAGTGGATTAAACAGATATACCTCCAAAGAGGGTAGAGGGAAAAGTGTAATGGAGATCATATTGAAGCCAAGACTATGAAGCAAAAGGGAGAATGTTGGGGAGAAAATAACCAGAGAGTCAACAAATTGAAAATTATTAAAGAATCTCTCTATAAATTCTTCTTTGGCAGAAGAAATTCAAGTAGTATTTCACCCTTATTTTACAGGAAAAGTTATCAAAGTCTTGACCAGTTATCAGCAGAAGTTAGCCTTTCTCAGACTTCACTGGATCCAAGCCAGTCACAAGAAGGAGACGTAAAACAAAACACATTAAATTTAATCAGTGAAGGTAAGAACAAAAGTCTATTTGAAAGTTACTCTTTTCTGCACTGTCTATATTTTGGTTGCAGAGGATTGCCAGAGAATAACGTAACATCTCTGTAAAGCATACTAGAAATTCAGCTGCCATTATGATTCAAAATGGTGCACCCTTGTTTCTTTCTTTCTCATGTGCTTGTGGCTAACCTCAAAAGACTTGTCTGTAATCTTTACCTTTGTTTCCTCACTTTCTGGACTCTTTTACCCACTCCAATTTGGCTTTTGTATTGATCAACCACTACCATGTTGCAGAAAACTGCAGATGTCATACACTATTAAACTTCTCAGCAGCTTTTGATATAACTACTTCTTTGTTCTTGAGTCACTTTTTGTACCTGATTATTTTTTTGAGTTCTCTGAATAACTTCAGGACCAAACATAAAAGTGTATTATTTTTTCCTATTACCACTTTCAGATGTGCATTATCAGCCTTTCTTCCCATTAGGTTGCATCTTCCTGAACAACATCTTGGTCCAACTCCATAACTTTTCAGGCTATTTTCAATAATATGGTCCCATTTCAGTTTGTAAGACTCAACCTATTCAGTTTTAAACTTCAGTAGCCTAGTTAATTCAAAGCTCTTTTCTTTCCCTCCCCCAGCATAGGCTAGAGCTGGGGAAGAAAGATAACTCTTTACCTTGGAAACCTGCATTCCCCTAATGCCTCCAGTTTTTTCCCTGCCTTTTCTATTGCAAAATAGTAAGACCATAGGCATTACCCTAGATTCTACTCCTTCTCCTTACAATTACATTGAATTCATCTACAAGTCCTGTCAGCTCTCCATACAAAACATGCTATGTATAAAGACTTATTATCTTCTCTATTACTACCACCCTAGTCTCAGCCACCTGCAGCAAGTCTATTGGCTGGACTGCAGCCACAGCTTTTCCATTGGTCTTTCATCTCCCATTCTTGCCCCTTCACAGTCCATTCTCCACATAGTAATCAGTGATCTTTTAAAACATAAATCAGAAAATATAACCTTGCTTAAAACTCCCCAGTGGCTTTCAATGGCAATTAGAATAAAATCCAAACTGCTTATCATGGTCTCCTGCATGATCTTCTCTTTATCAGCTTCTGCCTCATTTCATACCATTATTTTCCTTGTTCTATATACCCCCGCAAACTGACCTTCTAACCATTCCTTCAGGCTGGTTCCTGCCATGACTATCTTTGTACTTGCTTTTCCCACTGCTCTGAAACTTCATTCTTAAGATCTTTGTAGGTAGACTTTATCACATCTGCGTTCAAATGTCATCTTTCTAAGAAGCTTTCACTGCCATACCTTAAATAGCTATCCCCATCTCCACCCCATCCCATACTCTATTATATTGCCATGCATTCTGATTCTTGTCTGTACCCCCACCTTTGAAATGTAAACTTCATGAGGTTAGAGATCTTATCCATCATTTTCACCAGTGTATTACTGGTATTACTAGAGTGTGATACAAAACAGGCAACTATTAAATATTTGTTGATAGAATAAGTATATAATCAATGAAGGTCATAGAATATGAGGAGTAAATTAAAAATTAAGTTAACCAGAAGTCTTAAGCACTGTGAATGTCATGTCGAACTGAATTTCTACTTTCTTTAAGTTGGTTGTTGAAACATTCTTCAAAGGGCCTTAGTAATATTTTAATAGATAGTTTTTTTGGATAAATCCAATAGTAAATTGGATTCAGTGTCATAATCTAGAATATGTATATATTTTTTTTAAAAACTAATTCATACTATGGGTTTATTTATGATGACTCTTTATCTAAAAGACACATTTATTTAGGATTTTAATCTAATTTCTTATTTTAATATCAACAGGATAAGAGTAATAATGAACAATTTGATACTATAAAAACAAATATATTGGGTTTAAGAATTCAAGGTTAAATAACAGATTAAAAGTTACTTGCAGAATTTCCACACCCAAATACCTAATAAAATGAATTTAAAAAGTAAAAATTAGCCAAAAATTCACCAACTGCAACCCAAAAAGAAAGAAAGAGGGTTACATAATAAACATAATAGACTAAAAGTACTGGTGATCAGGAAAGAAACATTCTCATGATGAGTTGGTGAGATTCCTAGAATTCTCAATATCCCCCAATCTGGCTTAAAAAAAAAACAACAAACCCCAAAAACTAAGGAATTTTGGATAGCTGAGGTAATGGCAGTGATACAAATTTGAATAAAAATATTCTATAAAAATATAATAAAGAACAAGAAGAAATAAAACCATAGAAAACCCAAGCTCTCAGCATAACTAGAAGATACTAAATAAACAAACTTCAAATTGCCTGTGAATAGAAAAATAAACACCAAATTCAAGGAGGCTCTCTTTGCTCCCTTTCATAAGCAAATGGGCTCAGGCAAAACTAAACTGTGCAAAAGAAAGAACTGGGATGTTAGTGGCAGGCCTAAGTTGAGCAAAAATCACCTCCAGAAAGAGAAAGTCAACCTTAAATGTAAAAATATGAAAAAAGTGTCCTGGTAGAATGGACATGTAGGATGCAAAGAAGCAGTATTAAAACAGTAAACTGAAAACTAGAAAAGAGCTAAAAGAAAGAGAGTGATCTATTTTGGAAACCACATAGTGGGGAGGGAAAAAAGTAAAAGAGAAAAGATTAGGATTGTGTAAAAAAAAAAAAAGAAAAGAATAATTAAATGGAAAGATACACATTCTTTTCACCCATAGCACACTTCTCCCTCAATTAAAGCCATACACTAAGGAACTCATACTTTGGTACACTGATAGAAAAGGACGCTCTTGAATTAAAAATTTCATAAACATCCAAATCAAACAGACTTGTCCACAGAAAGAAGAGCAAACACTGTCCATACAAAAATATTATTTTTTTAAATCGCATAAAATTGCGAAAAATAATTCAGCTGATGAAACAATAGTGAAGTAAAGCAATAGTGAAGCAGGAAAAAAATTAATACAACCATAGGCTGGGCGTGGTGGCTCACGCTTGTGCAATCCTAGCACTCTGGGCGGCTGAAGCGGGAGGATCGCTTGAGCCTCGGAGTTCGAGACCAGCCTGAGCAAGAGTGAGACCCTGTCTCTACAAAAAATAGAAAAATTTGGGCTTGGTGGCGCACGCCTCTAGAACCAGCTACTCAAGAGGCTGAGGCAGGTGGGTTGCTTGAGCCCAGGAGTTTGAGGTTACAGTGAGCTAAGATGACGACACTGCACTCTAGCCCAGGTGACAGAGTGAGACTCTTGTCTCCAAAAAAAAAAAAAAAAAATTAATACAGCCATATGAATAAATTATATTTCCCAGCTCAAAATACTAGAAACAGAACAATAAAGTAACCAAAAACACAAAGAAGGAAATAATAAAGATAGAATTGTAAATAAATGAGATAGAGAATAGAAAAACAGTACATCTAATTAAGAAATCAAGAAACCTGGTTTTTTTAATCAACAAACAATAGACATAGCTAATTACAAAAGGGAGAAAGCACAAATAAAAATAAGAACTGACAAGGGGAAACAATCATTGAAAAAGAAGTTGTTTAAAAATCACAACAGACTGTCAAGTACTTTGAAGACTTCTATGCAAATGAATTTGAAAACCTAGATGAAATGGATAGTTTACTGTGTAAACACACTTTACCAAAATTATATCCATTAGAGATAAAAAGCTTAAACAGGCCAATTTCCAAAAAAAAAAAATAGAGAAAGTTATTAAAATGGCCAGACTCACCTGTTTTATCAGGGGAACTCTTTCTAATCGTCAAAGACCAAATATTCCCAATGCTTCGTAAATTATTATTCCAAAACATGGAAAATGAAGGAAAATTTTATAATTATTTTAGGAAATAGGTATAACCTGATAAATACAGTAGGAAAATAAAAAATTATAGATCATTATCACCTATGGATATTGATATAAAATTTCTAAATAATGTAATAGTGAACAGAGTCTAGCAACACATAAAGAAAATGATACACCACGACCAGGTGGATTTATTCCAGGAATGTGAGGTTCAATAGTGTAATTCAATAATAGGAAACTCATTAATGTAATACACCATATTAATATATCTGAGATAGAAGAGGCTGTCTACACAGATGCCAAAAAGCCTTGGACAGAGCTCAATACTTGTGTGATAAAAACATTCGAGAAAAAAAGTTTGAAGAATACTTTCTTTATATGAATGTGTGTATGTCTTTTTCCTAAAGGTAGCATCTTACTTAAAGGGGAAACACTTATATCAGGAACAAAGTAAAATACCCATTGTTTCCACCAATATTTAACATTTTCCAGAGATATTAATGTATTTAGAGAAGAAACTTCAAGTAGAGACATGAGAATCGGATTTTTGCAGATGATTCCATGAACCTGAAAAACACTAGACAAATAACTTAGAGGGTAGTACTATAAAAGGAGCAGATATAAAATTATCATATAGAAATCAGCAGCCTTTACATGCACAAACAATAACCAGTGAGATAATCTAATGGTAGGGGAAAAACAAATTAAACAGCAAAGAGAAGATAAAATACTTAGACTTTGCACATTTCTTGTTAAATTTGTTCCTGTATAAGGAAAACTATAAATCATTTTTAAGAGACACAAAATTAGACTTGAGCAAATTGAAAGAAATACTTTGTTACTTTTCCCTAAATTATTTTAAAATTAACACAATCCTACATATGCTTTTACTTTCTAATTCAGTAATCACACACCTAGGAATTTACTTATACTTAAGTACATCTTAAGTAAAAAAATATGTGTGCACATGGTTATGCTCACTTACTATTCCTTCATATCGTGTACTTTTTCTTGAATGCTTATCATATTTTAAAGAATTTCCATAGCTACCCCTTTTTTAAAATCTAACTTTTTATTTTGTGATGATTATAGATTCACATGTAATTGTAAGAAATAATACTGAGGAGGGTACTGGGTGTACCCTTAACCCAGTTTACCTCAGTGGTAACATCTTTCAAGCCATGATCTTGAA